ATTAACCAAAAACTGCAGGCGCTAGGCCTGGTATTTTTGACTCTAACTGCTGGTCAGACAGAGGTCCACTCAAAGTCAGCTCTTTACTTCACTGTGTATTGTTATAGGTGCAAACTGGTCTCCAAATTGACTCGTTTCTGGAAAATTTGATATAAAAATTTCAAGCTTTTTCATATCTTAAAAGATCAAAGGACAATTGGTACTTAAGAACTGTCATGGGTGATATTTCCATAAAACAAAGAATCCATTTTGAAGTGCAGATAAGTGCCCCAACTTACTTTCTGTGAAAATTAAGAATTTCCTATGTTGACTCTCCATCCAGAGGGGCATACCAGCTCAAACAAACAAACAAAAACTCAACCGTAAAAACTTGCAATTAAGACCAGTTATTTTTGAAAATGCTGTTGAATCTACTTTGTTTATAAGTGGCCCCAAATTGCTTAAGGCAAACTACTTTTATAGCTGTGGACTCAAAAAAGTTGTCCATTCAACGCTGCTGACACTGCCCCATCTACTGGGTCAGCAGCACTGTCTTCATGGGAGATGAAACACTACCCCCTGTGGGTTGTAGGAACTCACTTTTCTGAAACAGAGTGTTTGTGTGTCCTCACAGGCAAATCTGGGAGTGGGGGGACTTATTGTGAGATGACATGCAAAATATGTCCATGTGGTCCATGACACGCAAAATGCAAATATGATGACATGCAAAAAGTGCTTTTTCTTATATATCCCTGGGATATATCAATGGAATGTCAATAAAGAGCGGTTTCTGTTGTTACCAGGGGTAAAAGATTGGATTAGAAACGACAGGCCCTAAGCAACTTACAGTGTAAGATGGGGGAAATTTACAAAGTATAATCATTCTTGAGGTTGTTGATAAATATCAGGATTAAGAATAAAAGATCTGGAAAAGATACACACATACACACACAGATGTGCAGTGATATGGACAGCTGGGAGAGAGTGAGCTCAGACTATCTGGGGAAACTGACCTCAACGGATGGGATGAAGGATGCTCCAAGGAAAGCTGATAGTTTTAGCCTTTGTGTTCAGTTGAGTTTCCCAAAGTCTACTGAATGACCAGAAATCTATTAAAATCAGCAAAAACTCCGCTGCTACATTTGAGGACAAGACAGTGTAGTCAATAGAGCAGAACTGATAAGGAATTTTTGATGATATGAACCTGATGGAATCACACTGTATGAAAAGCCCTTCAGGACCCACAACTCACTACAGGCAAAAGGAGGCTTTCTTTGGAAAACAGAGGAAGCATCCTGTCTAGGAGAACAGCAGAAACCTGGGCACAGAATAGGAAGGTCAGGGGCAAGGCTGAGCCATGAGAGGATGTCAGAATCATGCACAGAGATCCAGGTTCCACTCTGAGACAAGGCTTCAATTAAGCTGGTTAAAACCTTACACTCTGGCTTCAGAAGGACAAAGGTTCAAGTCCTGACTGCAGCCCACAAGCTGCATGACCTTGGGTTAGTTGTCCATCTGTCACCTTACCGACTCCGAGTCTCACTGTGTCCATCTATAAAAGCACAATGACAGAACCTACTCCACAAAGCTGGGGTGCAAAATCACACATCCCCATCCTGTTGGACACTGCTCTGGTGTGGAGAACACAGCAGTGACCAGAGCAGACAACCTCCCTGCCTTCATGGACCTTGCATTCTGAGAAGAGAAAGACAGGTAATAGATACAAGTAGAAGTACGTCAGGATGCCTCTCATGGGGAGTTCCTTCAGAGGGTGGGTGGTGTTTTATATAGAGTTTCAGGAAGGCTTCTCCACCGAGTTGATATTTGAATAGAGACCCTAGGGGGTGAGTAATAAGCCACAGACATAGCCTGCGGAGGACGGTCCAGGCATATAAGACAACAAAAGCCCTACCAGAACATGCTTGGTATGTTTAAGGACTAGCAAGGAAGACAGAATGATGGGAGGGGAACGAGAAAGGGGCACTGTGGTAAAAATGACGTCAAAGAGGTCATGGGGGCTAGATCATTACAGGGCTGCGCTGTCCAATATGGTAACCAATAGCCAAATGTGACTATTAAGCTCTTGAACTGTGGTTCTGAAATGAGATGTGCAGGAAGCATAACATACACACTGGATTTTGAAGGCTGAGCAGAACAATAAGCATTAAAATATTTCATTAATAACTTTTATACTGGTTATATGTTTAAATGATAATCTTTTGATATATTGGGTTAAATAAGCCATACTATGAAAATTGGTTTCACCTGTTTGTTTTTACGTCTTTAATGTGGTTACTGGAAAATCTAAATTACATGTGGCTTGCATGATATAAGGCACTAGAGGCCACAGTAATGAGCATGGCATTTATGCTGAGCAATATGGGAAGTAAACAGAAATGCACACAAAGTGTTTAGCACATTTCCCAGAACAGAGCAGAAAATGTTTAGGAAACTAGAATTCCATTCACAGACGAACTACTCAAATGTAAAGGCAAATATATTTAGCGGGGAAGACACTGGATTCAAGAAAAAGTAATAACAGAACGAATAAAAGTTAAGTTTAAATAATTGTTTGGAATGTAGTGATGACATATAATGAAACTGGCAAGCAGCGATTATTGAAATATGAAACGTAAAGTTAAATAAAAAAGAATCTGACAAAAAAGAATGACAGATAAAATTGGATCCATTCCTAAATTCCAAATGGATCAGAGAAAAACAGGCAAAAAAAAAAGGAAACCATGTAAGTATTTCACTGTAGCCATCCTGGTAGATGTGAACTGGGTTTCTGCTTCTAACCTCCATTTCCATGACACCAATGAGATTAAATACTTTTCATGTGCTGACTGGCTATCTGTGTGTCTTCTCTGGTGAAGCACACGTTTAAGACTTCTGCCTATTTTTTTCTAGTGTTGCCTTTTTCTTTTTTATTGATTTGTAAGTGTTCACAAATGCTAGGTAAGAATCCTTCACCAAATATACACGTGGCAGGTACACTCTCCCCATAGGTGGCTTCCCTTTTCAATCTTGTACTGATATCTTTCATCAGAATAGACCTTCTAAATTTTAATGTAATCCGAAGTTTTCAATCTTTTCCTTTATGGCTCATACATTACACGTCTTGTTTAAAAATCTTTGCTTGCCCTGACCTTATGTAGATAAGCTAATTGTAGGAAGTTTTATTTTTACCTTTCTTACTTAAGTGTATGAACCTTCTCTAATTAATTTGTGTGTGTGTGGTGTGAAGTCCAGGTTATGGATCATTGTTTTTCATGTGGAGATCCTACAGACCCATCACTGTATACTAAAAATATAATCCTTTCTTCACTGCACGGCAATGTCACGTTTGTCATAAAATCAAGTGACAATACATATGTAGGTATGTTTGGGGCTCTTTATTATGTTCCTTTGGTTTATTTGTCTATTCTTGTGCTAATACCATTACTTACTATACAGCTTAATTACTATGGCTTTAATATAAATCTTGTGAATTGGTATATAAATTCTTCACTTTGTTCTTTTCCTTCAAGATTATCTTGGCCCTCTGCAAGGTCAAGATAATCTTATTATCTTACATACACATTTTAGGATTGGTTTGCCAGTTTCTCTGCCTCTCTCTCCCTTTCTCTCTTTCTCTCTTTCACACACAAATACACAGCTGCTGAACAAAATTGGCAACAAAATAATAAAAATACGATTACAAACTTAAAAGAAATTAAATCTTCATGCATCCATACTGATATAAAGAAATTAGTGAATAAGTCAATGAGGAAAGGGATCCAGCTCTTCCTTACAGAAGAATTTCAAGTAGTAAATGGAGATGGATTGAGGAAAACAGAAAATCACCATCGGTTCACCATAGTAATAAGTGCTGCAAGCAAAATCCACGGATGAATGCTAAAGTGAGTAGACGGAAGTTCAAGGAAAAACAGGCTATTTGCACAGGCTTGATGTGTCTCCCCTAAAATACCTATTAATTACTGTGGTGGTCTTCATATATGACCACAAAGTCTCCGAGACCCCTCCCTGAATTCAGGAGGTTCAGCTTCACTCTCCTCCCCTTGAGTGTGACCTGGACTTAATGACTGGCTTCTAACAAATAAAGTATGGAAAGGGAAAAATAGTGACTTTATACTGAAGGAACCTGGTAGACCCACCTTCACCAAGTGGTCACGGTCAACATCATAGCACGTCCGCTCCACGGGACGCTACGAGAAAGGCATATCTCCTCTGTGTTGTTCTTCCCTCAAATCCATAACCTCATTTCTAATCATCAGAAAACCTCAGAGAAACCCAAATCAAGAGACATTGTAAAAAATGCAGCTACTACTCTTTAAAAGTGTCAAGGCTGTAGAAGCAGACAGACGGAGGCGCTGGCCCTGATTGGAGGAGACTAAGGAGACAAGACCACGAAATGCGATGTGACAGCCTGGATGGGATCCTGCACCAGAAAAAGAACATTCGTGGAAAAACTGCTGAAATCTGATCCAAGTCTGGAGTGCAGTTAATGGTAATGTGCTGATGGTAACTTCTTAGTTTTGACAAATACACCATGGCTATGTGAGAAGTTAACCTTAGGAGAAGCTGAGCGAAGGGTAGACGGGAACTCTCTGTACCATCTTTCTAACTCTTCCGTAAAACTGAAGTTGTTTCAAAATTAAAAGTGTAACATGTTTTCTTGAAAGCTCTTCAGCAATCTCTTCAGAGTGGTTATCAAGACAAGTTTATACAAGCTGGTCCACTTTCTATTTTATACCTTTCTGAGTGCGATTTTTTCCCTTCTTTTCAAAAAAGGAGGATTGATAATGAAAAGTAATTCCATTTGGATTTTTAAAAAGCCACTCTGTGGGAACTAGCTATGGAGAAAAGCTGACTCAAAAGCTGACCCAAGAAGAGAGAATGCCTTTGCTTAGGAACAAAGCCCCAAGAACGTGGAGCACGTTTTCAGTCAATAAAGGTACTCCTTGGACCAGAGTTGTGTTTAGGGCTTGAGGGGACACACAGAGAATGTGGTTACTCACCAGGGCGACTTTCCTTTGTGGCTTCAGCAGCTTCGGTTTATGGAACGGGGCAGCGATGGGAGCTGTGGAAGCACATCAAAGGTTTAGTTTGCAATTCCTCCCAGGACTCTTAAAACCCACATATCACGAGCACCACGGACAGAGAGCCTCGGACATGGGGCCACTTCCGGTCCTCGTGGAGGAACTCTAGTTTCTGATCCAGGTAACAGCTGGACTGGTGCCCCTCGGGGGAGGATGATCCTCTCCTAGCCTCTAGATACGTCATCCTCTCCTCTCAACAAGGTCAACAAAACCACAGCATAAGACACCGCCAGCTACAAAGAGGTCAGATGTGAAGGTGAGAACCCGGTGCACTTGGTAAAGGCTGAGGCTGGGATCTTCCCTGGGGCTTCCTCCTAGTTGCATGCTAACGCTGACAGCGGTGACCTTTGACCCTCACAGACACCCTGGGAGGTCAGCAGGGAGGGTCTTATTGTCCCCATCTAACAGAGGAGGAAACCGAGGCTCTTCTTCTAACATCATGTAACTACCTAGTATTTAGATGAATTGGGACTTGAACTCAAAGCCAGGCTCAACCACGTGGGTCTCTGAGTCTCATTTTCTTCTTTCGTAAAGTAGGGCACCATCTATGCTGACTGAATGAGGTGATACAGCAGTACAACGCCTGGCGCAGAGCAGGGACAGCTCCCTTCCCTCCCCAGATCCACAAGTGTCATGCCTCGCAGGACGCTCACGCCTCCCAGCCCCTTCTGTCCACCCAGTATACGTTCAGTCTCAGCACCACTGCCTTCCACCACAGGGCGCAAAGGGTGCCAAGGGGCCATCCTGGGAAGCCCCAGTTGAGGGATAAAATGGATCCTGTCTTTTTCCTAAATTATTCACCTGGGCAACCCTTGTATTCCCAACTGTATATCAAATCCTTTGATGTATGACCTTCTAAATTAGCCACAGTTATTTTAGGAACAATTTATAAACAGTTTTTACTTCTCACCTCAGGAAATGTCCATCTTCCTCATTTATGGTACTCTAAGTCGTAACTGGAATCAAGTAATAACCCTCATTTTAATCCCCAGAACAAATCCAAAATAAATTACACACCTGGTTTTTATCTTTAGGAAAATCATAGAGCCTTCTTTCCCTTGAATGAACCAAGAGGATGCTGACACCCCCTTGGTCCACCCTGCTATGTGCAGAGAATGTTAGTGCTTCAAAGGGAAATACACTGTGGAATAGTCTGTAGAGGTTGACCCCCGCTAAAGCCATGCACGTCCAATGGCAATGCCCCCAGCCCACCTCAGGGACGGGGCTCAGTTATGACCAAAATCTAGGTGGGGTTCTCCAGACCACATAATCAGGGATGTCACATCCTCCACCTGCCTACTCTCCTGTCCTGATCTCACATCAGACCCCAGGTGCTCTCCACATGGATGACTGCTGGCTGGCTTCCTACCTTTGGCAGGGACTGCGGGAGGAACGTCAGCTTTTTCCTTCCGCCTCTTGCCCTTCTTGGGCTGCAGTGGGACCAAGCTGGTCACGCTGGTGACAGTCTCCCCTGAGCTGGAGAAGAAGAAGGTCCTGGTGAAGGCAAAGGCAGGCTTGTTCCGGGGAAAGGAAAAGGAAGCAATAGTTTCCGGGTACCCCGTGTACCTGTGTGTTCGGTAGGGTACTCTTAGGGCCGGACTGGGATCACTCTGTACCTGTCTCCAGGGGTGGCTGGAGGTCTGGTGCTGACCCCTGGCTAAGGATGATGAGTTGAGCTAGTTAGGGATTTGTAACGTGCTGTGTAAAGTTCTAAAATCTCTGGTGAGACCCAGGGCCGGCTTGCCTACATTGTTTTGGGGTGTTTAGATTGTTTGTATGGAGTGTTTACACCTGGTTAATGGGTTTACGCAGTCTGGCTTGGTTACATCGCCAGTAGGATATTAAGATATCACTAAAAACTTCTCCTTGAGCTCCCCTAAAACCAACGTTCCTTGCACACATCTTTGTGGCTCACAATCCAGAGACAGAGCAGCACCTGTGCAAGTGAGAAGGGACCCTGGGAAGTTGCAGCTGGGAGTCCCTAGGGCCCCCCATGATTGTTCACACTTTCTCCTCCTGCTGTATGTACCTTCACCTTTAAGGTAAAGACTGAGTTAGCCCTCAGGAGTGTTGTTTTCAATTATCTGGGTGGTTACCTGTGTAATCACTGTAGCATCAGATTCTATGTGTTACCGTTATAACCCAAAGTAATAGGTGAGCCTTACATCACAGGTAACAAAACCAAGATTCAAAGATGCTAAGTGACTTGCTCTAAGTGACACTGTTTGTAAGCAGACAACACGAAAGCTGCAAACCCAGACTGGCCTGATGTGAAACCTGTTCTCCTTGCTACCTGTAGGGTGGAGTCCAAGCACTTCCTTGAATGGGCATCGTCTTATTTCAAATGCATCCTATGGCTCCAGCAACTCAGAGGGCAGCCTCTTTTAGAATCTCTCGTCCTCAGGCACATATTCCAGCCAGGTAGGTACAGTTACCAAGAGAGGCTTGGTAACTCCCTTGATCTCCCTAATACAAAGGATTTCTAGAAATCCGTAAGATATGACCTAATAGTCAAAATGAATGAAGGTGGTAAACAGTTTTCACACAAGAGGAAAGGCTCGTACCTAGGAAAACATGCTAAAACTTCCTCAAGAAAAAGCCAAATTAAAATGTACTGCACTTTCTTTCTGCACATATCAGAATGGCAACAACCAAACTGAAGGCAAAGCACTCTTTTGGCAAGGGTGTGAGGAATCAGGCACTCAGAAGTATTGCTGGTACAAGTGTAAACCCTTCCTGATGGAGGGTAATTCGGCAATCAGGATCACAGGCGCTATCAGAATTACAGAGGCTTATACTCTGTGACCCAGCAATTTCACTCCTGGGAATTTATTCTGTAGATATCCTTGCATGGGTATGAAATGTACATATAAGTCATTATAGTCCTGTTGGTAATAGCAATAGATTAGAAACAACCCAACTGTCCATCAGCGGGGGACTGGTTAAGGAAATTATGGTGAATCCACAAATCCACACACGGGGTCCTTTGTAACTGTAATGAGGGATGGGGAAGCTATTTATACAGGGATAAGAAAAGACACATTGTTAAGTGAAAAAGCTAGGTGTTGGACAATGTGTAAAATGTGTCATTTCTTTTGTATAAAAATAATATATATTAGTATTTATGTACACAAATAGAGAAACTTTGGAAATATTCACAAGAATTTAAAAATAGTGGTTCCTTAAAATGGGGGTGCTGAGGAAATAAACAAAAGGAAGATTGGACAAGGAGAATTATTTATTATTATTACATATTACATAACATAATAATAATAATATAATTAATAATTGTATTATATAATATAACATATTATTATATAATATAATAATATGAATTATTATTACATATATATTTAAGTATTTAACTTTAAATTTTAATTATTAAATCATGTGATTGTATAATCTTTGAAAAACAGTAAATTAAACACTAATAAATATTTACATATATTTAATAAAAGAAAACAGACTATTCTAATATAGTCCTGGAGTTTTAAAAATAAACAAAGACTGAGTCACGTTGTAGGGAAATTTCCAAGAATACAGTTCACACTGAGAGTCCCCAAAGACAGCTTATTTTTATTGGGAACAGAAATTCTAACTGGCCATGGCTTTAGAGTACAGGGTCAACTGTGTAAATTTACAAATAGCCAAAAGGGATGTGTGTTTACAAAACTCTGGCCACAAAGAGAAAACAAGGGATCAGAAACCCTCAGAACTGTTTAAATACACAACCACACATACAGCTTCATTTCCTAGCTTTTTAAACTCTTGAAATGTTTATTTTTTCTTTCCATTATAAATTAATGCACGTTCATGTTTTAAAATGGTAATTACAAGCATGGAGACGAAAGAAAATAAGTCTATCGTAACCAAAACATGATCTTCATAAATATTTCCAGCCTTTTTCCTCTTCCTTGTTTTATTTTTTTAAAAAGACTTTATTTTTTAGAGCAGTTCTATGTTCACAACAAAATTGAGCAAAAGATACAGAGATTTTCCATAGACCCCTGACCACCCCCATTATGAACATTCCCACCAGAGTGGTACATTTGTTTTAATTGATGAAACTACCTTGACACACATCATCACCCAAAGTCCACAGTTTACATTAGGGTTCACTCTTGGTGTTGTACATTTTATGGGTTTGGACAAATTTATAATGTAGCCATTACTGTAGTATCATACAGAATAGCTTCCATGCCCTAAAATTCCTCTGTGCTCTTCCTGTTCATCCCTCCCTCCCCCACCTCTGGCAACCACTGATCTATTAACTGTCTCCACAGCTTTGCCTTTTCCAGAATGTCAGATATAGTTTGAATCATACAGTATGGAGCCTTTTCAGATGGGCTTCATTAACTTAGAAATATGCAGTTAAGTTTTCTCCATGTCTTTTCATAGCTTGATAGCTCATTTCTTTTTAATGTTGAATAATATTCCATTGTCTGGATGTACCAGGGTTTATTTATTCATTCATCTACTGAAGGACATCTTTTTTGCTCCCAAGTTTTGGAGATTATGACTAAAGCTGCTGTCAACATCCATGTGCAGGCTTTTTGCGGACATAAGTTTCAACTCTTCCTTGGTTCTTATACATTGTCTTTTTAAAAATAATATTGGGGCTTCCCTGGTGGTGCAGTGGTTGAGAGTCCACCTGCCGATGCAGGGGACACGGGTTCATGCTCCGGTCTGGGAAGATCCACATGCCGCGGAGCGGCTGGGCCCGTGAGCCATGGCCGCTGAGCCTGCGCGTCCAGAGCCTGTGCTCCGCAACGGGAGAGGCCAGAACAGTGAGAGGCCCGCGTACCGCAAAAAATAATAATAATAATAATAATATTGTATTACAATTTTGCATCCTTCTTTTTACTTAATCTACACTTTCCATATTGTCACATCCTCCCACCATTCCAGTGAGAAGACATGCCCACAGTTTACTTAGCCTTCCCCTGACATCTAAACATCTAATTTGCTTCCCAGTTTGATATACAAATAACATTGCTATAAATATATTTGTGCATAATGGTTTTCCGTTCTTAGACTTTTGTTTTTGGATTCTTAGACCTGGAAATGCTAGTTCACAGAGGAGGATCATTTTAAAGGTTATTCAATACCCACTGTCAAAAAAAAAAAAATACCCACTGTCAAAATGATTTCCGACAAGTTAGTACTACTTTATAGCCTCTTGGTCAATGGATGAGGGCATTTATCTTTTCATCCTTTTTAACATCAGATTTATCAGTTTAAAAAATTTCTCACTTAATGAAGAAAAATGTGATATCTCCTTTTACTTGCATTTCTTTGCTTGCTAGGAGGAACATGTCCCGTGTTTGTCTGTGTTTCCTTATTTATGAATGATGTATGGACACCTTCTGCTGTTATTTATTAGGATTGTGAGTCATTCTTATAGATTTGTTTGCATCTTTGACATCAACCTGACATGCTTATTGCAAACATTTCCCTACTTTTGAATTTTGCCTTTTTGTTAAATGCACGGTCATTTGTTTTTGCTAAAATCGTTTGATAGTTTCTTTTTGTCTATTGCCTCTGAGTTGGGATTATCTTCCCCAGTTGCACCTCACACCCCACAAAATCAAATAATATTCCCCCTTCCTCTTCTCTTTTCTTGGCTTTAATTCTTTAGCTCTTTAATATAAAATGAAAATTTTGAGACATCATAAACGTAGGCCATTATGCCCAGGGCTTTCAGTAAGGTGAAAAAAGATCTGCTTTGTCATCACCATTCTCCTTGAAAACAGTAAAACTGCACTAAACTAAATTTAGTTCTACTTCATACCTCAATCATGAGCACTCAGATACAATGAGTCACCACAATGACATACGATAGACAGTGATTCCCTCAGAATCTTACGTCTCGCATTGAGCCAGCAGGGATGGTAGGAATTTTTGACAAAGTCCGTCTTATGATTCACTTACGTGAAAAGTTATTCTACATCTTGGGTTGCAACAGGACTGTATTTTGTGTCTGACACAAGGGAGTGGGCATTGCGGGAGCCAGTCAAACCAAGGAAGATAGAAAATAGGCCGGAAACTCCAGCTAAATTAGAGAGCTGTGTGATCGGAAAGAAGTGCTATTTGTGGGGAACAGGGCTGTTTTTCTGGCTCCAACAAGGGTGGGGCAGGAGGCGCACATGAGGGACCCTTGTTGTGACATGTACAAAGTTCCGGCTTGGCCGCCTCTCATAGGAGTCTCTGTGTCACAAAGACTAGGCACTTCTGCTCCGTGGCACGTAGTGGCTGGATCTAGCAAACGGGCACTGGACAGGGGCAGAAAGCCTGCACTAAATTTGCTTCCACTCTGACTAGAGAGGTGATACAGGACAAGTCACTCACTTCCCTGGGCCGCATCCCCCAACCTGTAAGATGGGAAGATGTACCCTCGCTATCTATCTCACAGGGTCATAGTTAGGGTCAGATAAGAAAGCTCAGCCTAAATTAGATGGGGCATGAAATGGCTAAAC